GGAGCTGCCCTGCAGGAGGAGAAGTGAGGAGAAAGCAGCAGGAAGAGAGGCCGCTGCCGTGGGTGTCCTTCACTCTGTGGAGTAATCCTAGCCCCCTACAAAGGTTAAAAGAATGCAAAGGGTCCGGCTTTATTTTCATACAGCAAGAAACGAAAGCCCAATTTTAGAGCTGGGAGGGCATGAATTGATCATTTTCATAGGTGCAAGTCTTTGTTATCTAATTAGATATGTATCCATCTATGCTTAATTTTTGAAAATATTACAGCAACCACATTCTAAAGAGCATGAGTGTACCTAGGACACGGAACCACTTTAGTGATGGCTATTACATGCTCAACATAGCTGGTGGACCTTAGAGCTTCCTAGAGATTTAAGTCACATTTCTTTGAAATTTTTGCTAAACTGAATTTTAACTCCACATTCCTTTATTTTTGTTGCTCTTGTTTGGTTTTATGATATCTGTCTGTCTGTCGTTACTTTGAAGAGGTGAAAGAAGAACAGAGAACTGAAGTAGTACATGTTATTTGAATTTTATTTTTTGTGATTTTATCCTCTTGACTTTTTTACTTTTGTAGAAATTATTTTCTTTGGATACACGGATTCCTCAAATTCTTTAAATTCATCAAATTCATTACGTGCCAAAGATTTTAGCTTCTTGCAAATATTGAACTAATTCCCTCAGGACTTGATACAGCTGACTGTTCACTATTTATGTTCCATTTCACCTACTTAGAATCAGTGAAAGTCAGTTTACAAAGCCAAATGAAACATATGAGAAGTCCTCAGAATTTACAATGACCAATACATTTCCCCCGATTTTCTGATTTCTCTGTACTGTATTTTCATTTTTATGCTCTCATCTGCTGCGTTCTTTTCTAAACTGCTCTAAACAAAGCCTCCCTTCCCGCTTTGGTGGAATTCTTCCACTAATTTGAAAGGCCACACATTCAACTAAGAACAAGACAAACTGCTTTCAAAGATTCCACCAAGAAATATCTGAGTTTTCTTAAAACTAGATAACCATATCTTATTTTTAGCTTTATAATTTTCCCTAAAGTTTTCTTTCCCTAGCAAACCCCCTACCTCACATCCAAGGTTATGATGGAGATCACCGTTGTACCTTCGTCTTCTATATTTTTCAACCTTTTCCTTCTCTGTTGCCTGTTACAATATTTGAAAAGAGGGACTTTGATACTGAATGCATACAAAGCATTTGAATTTGAGATTTTTGATGTCCAATACTAAAGGCTGTGAGAAACTAGAGACTTGTACAGACAGCAAGACTGTTGCTTGATAGGTTTCTGTAACCCAGTGGTACTGTTTGGAACTTGGAATATACATGTATCTATCTGTGTCATATTCTTTAAATTTTTTCTATTGCCAGAAGAAAAGTGTGTGTTTGCCAAGAAGTCAGTCTCTGCCATAAAGGCCTGCACATGAGGAAAGTGGGTGAACAAAACCCCTGTGTCAGGGTCCCTCTGGATGCCTGAGTCTCAGAGCAGGCTCTTTACACCTGGACACTCCTTGACTGCCCCGTGGGAGGACCTCTCTAACATGACACCTTGTGATCTGTAAGCCGATTCAGGTGGATTAACTGGGAGCTGTGAACTTTTGCCTTTGCATGCATCATGATGAATCTAAGAGGTGTGAACTGTCATCTCTTTTATATGATAATGTCCCAAGTAGTCTACATAAATCTGGCTGGAATATTAAAAAAGATAATATTTATTCAGGGAATAAAATCAAATTTTTAACGCATTATTTAAAAGATAAATATTTCTTAACTGTTAAAATATTTTTAAAATGTTGATAGTTTCTATAGTAGTGCTAAGAGTAGCACTTTTCAAAGGACATTAGGAAGAATATTTGCTGAAGAATGGAACGATTGTCCAGTTCAAAGACAGTTTTTAACTTAAAATCAAGTATTATGTTATTCTCTCTCCCTTTTCCCTCTCTCTCATTCTTTCCATTATAAGTGTGATATTAACACACGTATCTCCTGAAGAAAGGCTAACAAAATTTGGGTAGTTGAATTCCCCCCCCCAAAAAAAATCCTTTAGAAAGCAATAATTATTATATTTAAAAATGTACCAACAAAAGCAATTTAAAAGCTAATTTACAGTTTGACCTTAGGAATATCCTTTGCTCTTCAAGAAACCAGTCAGACTAACTGATTAAAAGTGATCAAGAGCAAAGATTTCTGCACACCTGAGGTCCCCTGCATTGCACTGCAGTATCTATGAAATCCAATCTGTGAGGTGGAGACACACTGCTGTTTCAATGATGAGTGTGAGGGTGATGCTGGCTAACTGGGTTAGTCAGATTCACTCAGGCTGCATGGGATTCACAGGGTGCACATATCTTTTAGTTTCCCTGTATGCTGAGTAACAAACTGGCAAAAATGAATTGAAGTGTGAATCTTTGTTGATTTTTTTTAGAGATGAATAAGCCTAGTTTGAATGTCCACAAACTGTAATTAGTATGATCTAAATTTGGGTGCATTTTCTTAACCCTAGTTTCTTTATTTGTAAAATGAACACAAACTTGAATTAACAAATAAATAAAATAAAATAAAATAAATAAGTGAAATAAACAAGTAAAATAAACAAGTAAAAACCTGAATTAACAAGTAAAATATATATAAAATATATATAAAAACTTAAGCTCTAGTATGAATACATAATAGGTTACTTTGGTCATTATTATTATTGATATAATCACACAGAAGTAAAAACTTGCAACTAATAATTATTTAGGGCATTATTGTAATTAGTAATTATTTAGGGCATTACTGCATTTAGGGTAATATTGTATAACTGTGTTTATGAATCAAAAGCATCCTTAGTTGGTTTATCTAATTCAATAATTTTATTTTTAATTATTGATAAGGCTTTCATATATTTCTAGTAGTGTCATTCTACTAAATTTGATATAATAATACAGACTGCTCTAATTTATTTTTGTAACAAGATATGAATTAGGTAAATAGGGACAGATATATAGCTTCTCAAATAATACATGTATACACAATGATCTTGGACTATAAATTACAAAGCACCACTACTGTATCACATAATATTTATTTTATGTGATGATAGTGATGATGATAGTAGAAGATATAATCTGAATGGAAAAGATAAATCAACTAGAAATTGATAATTGCAAGTACACTAACCTTGCTATACTACTGCCTAGGGCTGTGTTTTGTGCAGAGCAAACTGCAGTGAATATTAACTAAATAAATATATAAATCAAGTTAATGGACATTTTATAGTACTTTCACATTCAGAGGAACTGACATGGCATTTCAAGGCATATTAGACTTAGAGCTAACAAACCTAGTTCCTCTTCCTAGAAATGAACATATGGAACTTAACATATGATATAAAGGACAAATCTCCCAACAACTATTACATGGCAGAAGACATTGTAAGGGAGACTCAAACATAACACTGGGGTGAAAGCATGGGCGAATGTGTTTGGAGATGCATCACACTTCCAACTGGGGGAGGATCGGTGTCTCATGAGCATCTCCCCAGATGAATGGATTCTGCTGCCATGAATGAGGGATATGTTTGCCATGGGAGTGTATCTCAGGCTCCTGGGCGGAAAAATCATCTGGAGAGTCTGCAGAAACAGACTTGTGGCCATCGTCTCACAACATTCTTCTGGGAGGAAGCTCCAGGTTTCACGTTTCAACAGTTCCCAGGATAAAGTTGCGCTGTCTACCTGTGAAGTACCGTAAGTAGCAGTGCTCTAGAACGGAGCTCCCCAAAGCTGCCTAAATATAAGCAGAGGTGCAGGTTACCTGGAGATTAATGTTCAGAAGGTGGTGGGCAGACCAGCAGCATTAGCATCTCCCAGGATCCTGCTAGAGGTTTAATAGATCAGGAGCTCTATGCTGACTTTATCTCCAGGTGATAAACCTGTGCACTAAATTTTGAGCAGTACTGCTCTAATTCTTAAATTTGGCCCTATATTGGAATGACCTGTAGAGTTTCCAAAAGTACTGATGCTTTTTTACTACCGCAAGATGCATTCTAGAGTTGAGTATTTTTAATAATTACCCACATGGTGTTTCCATGCTCTAGAGGACGTAATTTGAAGGAATATTATGCAAAGTTTTATCTAGTTTCTGCCCTAGTCACCTGGACTATCACATCACCTGACATTTACTCAGGTACATCAGTCAGAATCCTTTGAAATACAAATCACAGCAGGAGATACTGTATCTTAGTAATAATATAATTTAATTAGAATTTGATTAGGGGAAACCCAGGAAAAACTATTAGAGGAAACATCAAGGGAAGCATATTTAATGGGGGTTAGAAGAATGGGTGAGAGTAGCAAGTTAAAATATAATGACACCTCTTATCCTGGGCAGAGGGAAGGAAATTGAGAAGGAAATTGTGGTGGGGTCAGCTGGTTATTTCTTGTTCTTCCAGAGGTAGAGTGGCTTACTGGTAGAATGCTACTGAGGCATTCGAGTAACCCAGGGGCAATAAGTTGGGTTTCATGTAAGAAATAAACAAGAAAATAATAAAGAAATAGGAAGCTGTAATTAATTGCACTCAGATTGGAGACAGGGGAGAAAATGTAAGTGTTGATGAAGAAGACATCAGAAACCACTAGAGAATCCTGCATTCTTACAGATATTTTGTAAGTTTGAGCCCAGAATTTACCTATGTGTTTTAGATGTTTGTCATTTTGTTTATGTTATCCTAACACCATTAAACCCATTTATTCCCTTATTATGTAGAAGGAGGAGAAATGTCAGGGTTCCTTTAGTGGATCATCTTGAAGCGGAAGATAAACAGTGACTATAGACAATCAGGGGCTCATTATTTCTGATCCAGATGATGTGTGTAGTTTTCATCTTCACATTGTTGTGACCTCACAGGCAAACTTAGAAACCGAGAAAATAAAAAGTGGACTTTTCCTTAAAAGAATTCTTATTACTCTTGCTTATTGGTGAATAAATAAAGAGTACAACAGTCACCTAATTTAAACTATTGCATTTATTATAATTACACGGGAGCACAAATAAATAAGCACAAAAGTATTGTAAAATATTGTCAGTACACTAAAGAAATCAATTGGTTTTCAAACAACATCTGGTTACTTCAATAGTATCAAAGTACATTTATAATTACATGTTACCTTAAAAAATCAAGTACAAAAATTAAGAGACATTGAAACATCAGTGTTTATAACATGTGTATAGAAATGGCTAATAACACAAGAGTAGAGAAATCTGCTATCTAATGCTTGTTTGCACAATTTTTCAGGCACATACCTGACATTTCTAATGAGTAATGAAAATGTAATATGACATTCAGATTTTTAGATATGGTAAACATGTTATATTGGAATGGATGTTAAATGGTTTTCTTTAAAAACCCTGTCTTTTAAAAATGTAGTGCCATTAGCCACTAAAAAACATATTTTATATCATTTTATAGCTATTTGTTTCAACTGTTTGAAAAGAGCAAGAAAGTAAACATACAATTGCTAAGTACGTAAACACGTTTTTAGTGCAAGATAACAAGACCTGTGACTTTACTGTGCTTTGTTTTTTTATAATCACAGTGCACTTTACACAAATTGCTACACTCTAAATGTTAAGTTAAAGAGTTCCAAACAAAAGAAGTGCATACTAAACACTTTCATATATATTATATACAGGTGTGTAATTTGTATGTGGGTGTATACATGTGTAAATGTAGATGTTTTTAGGGTGGGCAAGCCCAGTTATATTTGGGAACAACTAAACATTTCAAAGGTTTTCACATACGCTTGGTTGAGATGAGTCTGTCAATTTCTTTAAAAATGGTTTTCCTTTAATTTTAAATGTCATAATATTTAAAATAAATACAATTAGATGTTTTTTCCAGATCATACACATTTTGTTACAATATAATTGACCCAAATATCAAAGGGTTTTAAACCATCAAATACCCAAGTCATAAAGATCAAGTCTAACATGGCAAAATGTGTTACCACTTTACTGATTTACATAGACAGCAGTACATACGTGTGTGTACATATAGAGGCTTACGCATAAACATAGTTCATACTTGAACACTAAATTCAGTATGCTTTAGTATCTTGACTGTACACTTGATCAGAAAAAATGAGAGTATCATATATAAACACATAAGAGTTGTCAAACATAAAATTGTATATCTTCTTAAAAACAATTGGCTTTATTTTGAAAATCTTAATGATTGCATAAGTCAGCTCCTTAAATACAAGGACCATGTATTTTCCAGTGTTTAATTCCAAGTGCTTCAGAAACTTTATTTTCAATGACTGATACCTAAGTTGCTCAATAACAAACTTCTCATAGAAAAATAGGTAGTTAACAAATGGTCCACATTCTTCAATTAGCCATCTACTCCTCCATGTAGGGAAGGTTTAGTAAGATAGTCTTAAATACCATATATATCTTTTGTCTTTTATTTTCACTTAAGTTTAGGACACAAAGAGTAATGAATTACAGGCTTGTCATACATGTATTCCTATGCAAGTGTGAATTAATTGTCTTCTCAGAATTACCGATTAAATTTTGAATTTCACATGTAATTATAGTTACTTTACAAGCTCTCCTTTAGGAAGCTGGCTTGATTAACATGTAGGTAACAGAAAAATTGCATGGTTATGTGTCTTGTCTTCATGTTTTATTTTGTCAGTGAGAACCATATTAGGTTATCACTAAACTTGCTCAAGTCATCGCCCTAAGGTCTGCACTTAGACAAGACATACTGATGCCAAGCCATGGCAGGAATAAAGTTTATTTGTTTTTCAGAAGCAAAGAAAGTCAGTCATCATTTTGAAGTAATGCCACTAGTCTTGAAATTAAAGTTGTATTCACTCATATCCAGAAGACTGTTGTGTATTTGAAGATGTCTACCCCTTAGAACTGCTGTGCACATTTTAAATTCGTAAAGTTTTGTTGTACTTTCCCAATTAGTTTCTATGAGTGAAAATTAACATTCACTTTACTCTTATTTGCTTCACTGACATAAACACAGGGAAAGGTTCGCAGAGTTTGTATAAAGGACTACAGTCAGTTTGTATAAAGGATTACTCAGATGATGCTGGCTTCTGTGATTGAAAGTATTTCATTTTTTCTTTCCATCATCTCTAAAGAAATTTGTTTCTTCCTTTCACAGAAATATCTCACATATAAAAGCCTTTTGCTGACAGCCAATAAAATTTTGTTTCTATAAAATCTGCTGTGAAAAGACCATTTTTCATAAGTACGAGTTTTTTCACTCTGATAATCATGCCATGTTATGATTTGTTCTTTGGCACTGCTAGAAATACGAGCTTTATCATGGCATAGTATACTGACTGAGGTTATCCTCTGACCACATTAATACACGGAAGTGTCCTAATTTATTACTGCCAGAGAGTCCATTTATTTTTCTCTCTAGAGAAATCATCTCTTTTCCTTTACATAGAGAAACACTATATAAAGAGGAAATTGATTATAGAATGGCTATTGCCACAGTGGACAATTAAACATTGTATAGGCACAAAATAAGTGCTTTTGAGTCAAATTTAAGTGAACCACTTTTCCAAGTATTTCAATTTCTTCCCATGTTGGGGGAGATTTGGAGAAGTGCGTGGAAATGTTTGCCTAAGGTCACATTGTCAAACATGTTGTTACCTCCTCAGAAAATAATGTATTTGAACAAGGGGTATGAGTTTGACAGAACAAATGAGAAAGACTGAATCAGTGTAGTACCTCTGTCTCCTTCTGGACAAGTGGGTAGCATTAGAAATATATATCCTGCCTAATTCAGAGAGTTATAGGCAAGACCAGCAGCTAAGAAATACACTTGGGTCTCCCTGCAGAAAGATGTTACCTAAATATGAATTGAAGGGAGAGATTAGCATTACCACTTTCACCCTAAAGATTTATGTACCAAGATCATAAGGATGCTGAGAATTAATAACTTGTGTTTGATTGTCTTGAATCTATAAAGTCATAATAATTTAAATCAAAATAACATTTTGAGTCATAACACATTTCACTTCAATTATGATTTTTATCTTAACACATTTTTAATCATTCTTAGATTTGCATTGCATTGGTTGTTGAGCTTGAAATATAAACTCTAGTTGGTGAAATGTAGTGGCAGGATTCATTTAAATGTTTTAAGATCCTTCTGCGATTTTGTGATTCTGTTCTTTTCACCACCTTATGGATGCAAGCAAACCTAAAACTTCAGTAAGCTTTTTGTGTATACAATTCTCCCACTGAGTACACACACACACACACACACACACACACACACACACACACACACAAATACAACATACACATGCTCCCACTTACCATTTTTCTTATTCTTTCAGAATTTTAGCTGGACATCAAAATATACATTAATTATAAAACATTACAAAATTATGTTTTGAACATTTCAAAGGCTCTTGAAAGGAACTATTACTGATAAAGCATTGCTAGGTTTTTATCAATATAGATTACAAAAATCCCCTAATTCCTGTCATATTTGGTTTTATTGAGCAGCACAGTACTATTGCTGTCAATACCCTCACAAGGAAAACTACTGTAACAATAACTTCAGACGTACACTTAGATTCCTCTCAGAAATATAATACTAAATTGATTGTTAACAAAGAATCACATACTGTTAATTTTAGGAAGCATAAATAGTAATTTAAATATATAAAATATATGTAATAGTTTCCTTTTTATTTATCTGTGGCAATATTTATATTCAACTAACAAGTTATTTTTAAAAGATATATAGAATTATTTTAAACTTAAATTGCATCACCACATAAAATTGAATCCACCTTATCGTCTACCCCTGTATTTCCTGTTTCTTCCTTGAAAAAATATTTTAAAAAAAAGAAGTGTTCATAATTCTTTGGTCATGGAGTCATGATCGGTAAGAATTGGAATGAGGGTTATACACAGATTATGACCCAAAAACGTGATAATTACTTTGAAAAAAATAACAAGAAATACTTTTCCATTCATGGACTTAAATTTTGGGGAAAACTGGCATATAGATACTAAAATAGGTAAGTTGGTCTAGTTGAATGTTTCTTTTTCTAGGGAAAACCATCATGCATGTGAAATGCTTTGATAACTGACTGCTGTAACCTCATTGCCTTTGGCCTCAACCTCTCAGATGTAGTCACGTCCTTAAGTTTCTGGTTTCTTGTTCCTTCCATTGTTACAGTGAACCCTGGTCTCCTCCCATCAGATCAGTGATGCAAGAACACGGGTCCCTAAAGTCATTTCCAAAGCAAATGTCCTAACAACTTCCTCTGAAATCTGACTAAGCATTGCTTAATATAATCAAGAAGATACTGGAGAGGAAATTTTATGAAACCAATGTAGCAAAAATGTTGGCATCAATGTAACCTGGACACCCAGATTAACATCATATTTGCACTTGCTTCTTGTCACAAATCTTAAAAACTTAAAAAGCAGCAGATGTTCTTGATGAATATGACATTCAACTTCTACATTACTAGCACCAGATCATATATTATGTGGGTGAATATGATTGATAAGTGTGAGCTCTTACACAGAAGCCATATGTAGGGAGGAGAAAAAAGAAAAGGGTTTTAGATGCAAAAATTAATAATAAAAGGCATCAAGGAATTACATACAAAAGAGATAACAAACCAGATAATACCAAAATTATATCATATAGTAAACTCGATATTTCTGCAATTTATGTACGTATAGTGTGTCTTAATTCAGATGTCAACCATAAACTAGTAAAATATTTACAATTTAATATCTTCTGATTTCAAAATAATCTGGGATAAATTAAGTGTGCCTTGATTTCAAGAACATACACATTTCATCTTGGATTTGCCACAGGTAGGCACGACTCCCCGCAGCACTGCGCTCCCAAGGAGAAGATAAGCAACAATGAAATACCACGTGACCCAGTCGACCTCCCTCTTCGTCTTAAGTGATGCGGAGTCCCGGGTCCTGCACACACTCATATGGCAGTATCCCAGAATACTGTCTGCTGTTTAGAATAGGGCGGAGGGCTGCATTTCTTTGCACCTGCGTTGTTCTTCCAGCTGGGTAGGATAGGCATGCTATCCTGTTTGCAAAGGCCCTTTTCCGTTTTCTGTCTAGCCTTTATTTCCTTGCATAAGCAACGCTTTTTCTCAATCATCTCAAGCATTGTATGGTCTCCATGAAACCACTGCATGCATGCCACCTAGCAGAAAAGAAAGAGTGAATACAGAAGGAAAAAAAAACATGGAATGAAAGCATGTTTTTTGCACTGTTGTATTCGTTGCTTAGCTGTTTGTATACATGCGTTAAAAGCTCTTAAAATGAATTGACAAATGTAACAGTTCTTACAAAGCAGAAATGGAAGCACAGAAACTTTGCATTTAAAATAGCAATCATCACGGTGTTATTTATTTAATAATAACTTGGCCATGAATGTTTTCTCTGATATATTCTAAAAACTCACAATATACAAATGCAACTTTTTATTTTATCTTTTCCTACAATTGACCAAAATCTATTCTTTTCACTCTGGTTCCTTGTGTTACTCATCTGTGTATCTAAATCCAATAACTGAAATTACTTGTCATCGAGGTTTAATATGAATATGATATATTTTAATAATGGTAATGTGCATTTTCATTTTTAAAATACATTTTAGTCATTTGGGTTTGTTTATAAATAACACGTAGTAAGATAAATATTCTTAATAGTTCTTTCAGCTAAAATGATTTTCATTGTATACCATATGTTTGGAATGCAAGCATTTAAGTGATTCTTTGGAAAATACTTTGCTATATTTTTGGATGCGTGAGCAAATGTCTAAATTAGAGTCATTAGCCTCTACAATTACACTGACACAGATACTAATTAGTTCCAGAAACTTAAGAAAAAGAGATTCATTAGGTCAACTGGATTACGAGGAGAAGGTTGCTCTACACTGACACATATACATGTATTGTTGGACAGTAAACACTGCTGCTAGATGTCTTGGTACCAAGTTCAATAGTAACTGTCTTTGGAAACAAGTCTGTCACACAAAGAAGCCAAGATAACAAAGCTTACATTTAATTGTTGAAGAAAATACACTGCGCCTTACAGGGTTGAAGTGGCTCCCATGAAATCACTGAAATTGGTGTTACAATTTTAGGATGATAAATTACGTTTGTCTAATATTTACTCTATATCAGATCTCACGCTAAGTTCTTTGCATGATTTAATTCACTTATTCCTCACAATGATGCTCCTAAATAAACACTACAAAGGAATTCATAATGATGAGTGAAATAACACTTAAAGGAACTGGGTAACTTGCTCAAATCTACAGTGCCGACAAGTGGCAAAGGCAAGATTTGAAGCTAAGAGTCCATTCATGCCTTTAACAATTACAGTTTACTGCCTTTCAATGTGTGTAAAAACTGGAAAGAGCTGGGAAGATCAGTTAGTATAATCCTGTTATATAAATGAAGAAATTAAGGTTTCAAGAAATTAAGTGTGGAGGTAGGTTTTGCTGAGTAGCATTCTCATGATTCCTAATCGACTAGTGAAAGGGAAGATCTAATGATAGAAAACATAGATTCAAATCCTGAATGTGCCAAATTTCTCTCGGTCACTTGACTTCCTGGGCACTTGATCTGAATAATTTGATAATGACCCATTTGCAGCAGTCGATGTGAAATGGAATAATGTGATATGAAGGTCAGCTTATCTTAAAAATAGTACAACATTGCCAGAGTCATTTTAGTCCAAATACGAAGTAGTTTTCTGTGCCAACACACTGTCCAGAATGTGGAAGAAATGCTGTGTATGTGCTTTAAATATTTCCTTCTGCACTGAAAGTCAGGATTCAGATTCCCACTACAACTAGAAAACTGAGTTTCAGAAAGTTTAATAAACTATGGCAACAGTTTGTCTGACTCCAAAGTTAATATACTTTCTACATGAGTAGACTCAGTCCAATGAATTTTATTTAGAAATTACGATATACCTTAGCAGTCTACTGTTTTGAACCCCATTCAATTTGATACACAATGTATTCTGAGTCAAAAATTTTGTCCTGGTAGTCTTCATTTGTGCAGCACTCAGTAGGAAAGCCAATACTTCGTGGTATGGATTAGTTCATGACTTGCTACCATTTTGCTGCTAAAACGGATTGTTGATACTCATGGCTTTGCTTACTTTTCATATTCCTCCCGCCTTCTGGACAAAATTAGTGATGAATACCAAGACAGCTATTGTTGTATGTATTCGCTTCTCAAATGCAAGTGCATTTATGGCTTTGTAAGCAAATAAAAATGCTTTTCAACTAACAGTCGAAATCAATGGTCTGGATTTAGAACCAAAAGATGTCATTCCTAGGTAAATATCTTACAGTTGCCTAAAATGATACAAAGTGCTTTGGAAGGATGGGCTATGTGTATGCCTTTCAATGTGCCCTCGTCCCTAGATCAGGATCTTGGATGTGAGCATTCAGATTTGAAATAAAGTCTTCAGTGTTGAGTTAATCTAATGAACAGCTTTGCCTTGCAGGGGGAGAAAGCCAAGGTAGCTCAGAAATTTTTTGAAAGGCTTTCATAATATGATAATATATGCAATAAAATACAGTAACTCTATTTTGGTAGAAATACAAGTGCAGTTTATTGACTATCAACTCTCATAATGGAACTTATAACAAAGAATTGCCAGAGGACACACCTTAATCTCATTTATCTCAGAAGTCCCAACATACAGAACAGAATTATAGTTCTCAGTAAAATTTTATGAATTCAGTAGAAGCTACCATCACTCAACAGGTTTTGTTGCCCCTTATAAAAACTCTCCAGATAATTTTAGTAAAATCTTATTTTGTTTTACACATTCTAGTGTAATGGAAAAATCTCTGAATTTCTGTAAGATGATATATCTTATACCATCACTTCTACATTTCACTTTATTTACCTACTTATATGAACATTAAATCATTTTTACTTAATATTCTTTAGTATTTTTATGGTGTGAATCAGTATGCATGACTGCAAAATAATACTCTTTATTTTGGGCATCACAAACAATATGTTTAATATTCATATGAAGTGTGTTAAAATAGACCCATAAGATATTTCATCACTTTTGTGGGTTTCTTAACAAAAATTTTCACTATCATATTAGAATATGGTTGTAAAATTCCATTCTGTTTCCCCTGGCAGTTGAAAGAACTTCGAGAATCTTACCCTAACAACTAATTTGAAACCAAATCCCTTAATTAATGGTCATTTCTTATCAATAAGTGAAATGCATTTATTATTTTACTATGGAAAAGAATATATATACACTGGAAGGTAGGACTTGGGAAATAACTATAATTCAAATATTCAATTGTTATGAATATACACATTCTGAACAATATTTTTATATTAATATGATTCACCAGAGACAATATTCTTGAATAACAGTAAGTTCAAGGAAATAGGATCAAGTGAAACTCCCTGTCAAGGAAGTGAAGCAAAAATCTCTATCCCTGTGTGTTAGTTATGTGATAAACACTTGTCAAAGATTATAGCGTAGAAAAGGAGAGAGAAATAACTTTATACAGGAAAAACACATTCCATCGGCTGAACATCAGTGTTCTCGCAGAATTCACATGCTGAAATTCTGACCTCCACAGTGATGGCCCTAACTGGTGAGACTATGAGGAAGTGTTTATATCGCGGGATTAGTGACCTCACATAAGAGGCTCCAGGCAGCTTTTTCATCTCTTTCACCATGTGAGGACACAACAAGAAGCTGGAAATCTGTAACCTGGAAGAAGTTCTCACCTAAACTCAACCATACTGTACCTGCCCTTGATGTTCCCCAGCTCCAGAACTATGAGAAATAACTGTTTCCTATTTACTAATTACCAAGGTTGATAGGCGGTTAGAACAACCCAAACAGAAAAGGCATCCAACCACCACCTTCAACAGATGATCAACAGCGATAGATCATGCTGACACCGTTGGTATAATGTTACAAGTATGGTGGCACTTTACCTCTGCCATCTTTCTCCTTCAAATCCCCATGTCTCAACTCTATTCACTGTACAACAGACAAACCCAAATCGAGAGACAGTCTACAAAATACCAGGCTGGTATTGCTGAGCACTATAAAGATCACCTAAGTTTTGGTCTGGAAAGCTGTCACAATCTAGAGAAGCATAAGAAGACTCCATGACTAAAGGTAATATTTAGTAGTGACAGTAGTGAAGATTCTTAGACACAAACTAAGAAAGAGACAGTAGTGAAAGATTCTTAGATACAAACTAAGAAAACTAGCTTGAAGTGAGAACTTTAGTTAATCATAATGCATCAATATTGATTCATTAGTGGTGACCAATGAACGGTAATGCTATAAGGAAATAAAATTAGAGATGATGGGTGTGGTTGTACATTCTTTGAAAATTTTCTCTAACTTTAAGTTTAAAAGACACATTTTTAAAAAAAAATCAAATGAAAAGGTTATATCTTTTTTATCCAAGTGAGTTTAGCTCTATCTTTTATTTATTTACTTATTTATTTTGGATACCAGGGATTGAATTCATGACTTCAAGTTTGCCAGCCAGGCACTTGTGCTGCTGATCTGTATCTCCAGCCTCTCTATCTTTTATTTTTTTAAAAGAAATTACATGGTATTATGGAACATGTTAAATGACATGATTGGGGTCCTGTTACTTGGGGGATGATAAAAAAGTCTTTTATGTCTGAACATTCCATACACTCTGTGTGAATATTAGTACAAAACCCATGTACACCTGATATGTATACTTGAATATAATTCACTAACATGTTTTATGTACATATATTAAGTACACCATTACATACATCACACTTTACATGGCTTCAGGGGGCAGTGAACTAAACTACATACAGCATGTCAAGTGATAAAGACTCAAACACTGCAGGGTCTTCTGGAATCACCAGGAACAAATATAGTGAGAAGGAGATTTTAATTCACTTAAGTAATTACTTTCTCTTGGAAAAGTTAAGTACTTCCTGAGAGTAAGACTGTATTTTCCTCAAAGAACAAATAAATAGCAATGCAGTGTAATTATCCATTTCTATAATGTATATCTAAAACATTTACTGTTCCAAAGTAATTAATTATGAAAAGAAAAAATATAGTAAGTACTTGAAGTATCTTAACCTTGCAAATGACATGAGAAAAAAACTCATTTTTATTTCTGTCTCATCA